CCTATTGACTTCCTGAGTTGCCCGCGTATGTACGCGTCAAAATTAGAAATCAATTCTAATTTAGGCGCAGCTTCGCGTCATACGTCCGTCATACGCGCGTATAACGCTAGAAGTGTAAATATCATCATAGGTTAACATGGAAAAAAGTTACGCGCGTCTGCTGCGCGTATAACGCGTACGTGCTGTAACGCGTGATGTGTAAATTATCAGTAAGACCTATATCACATTCTAGCCTCTGCAGTAGAATGCTGTGGTCTATTGTGTCAAATGCAGCACTAAGGTCCAGTAGGACCAGCACTGACACTTGTCCATTATCAGCAGCTAGTAGTAAGTCATTTGTGACTTTGACTAGTGCCGTTTCAGTGCTATGATGAGCTCTGAATCCTGATTGAAAGACTTCAAACATATTATTTTCCTGCAGGTGGCAGCGGAGCTGCTCAGCTATAAGTTTTTCCAGGATTTTAGATATAAAAGTGAGGTTTGAGATCGGTCTGTAGTTTGTAAGTATTTCTGGGTCCAGGTTTGTTTTCTTCAGAAGGGGTTTGATTACCGCGGTTTTAAAATCTTGTGGGACATAGCCACATTGTATGGATGCGTTTATTATATTTACGATAGGCTCAATTATCAAAGGAAGTATGTCTTTGAAGAGCCATGTCGGGACTGCGTCTAACATGCAAGTTGAGGCTTTTGAGGATGTGACCACAGAGATCACCTCTGCTTGGCTCACAGCCATGAATTTATTAAGGCCCACTGAAGAGTCTAAGTGGGAAGTCACGTATGCCGCTTCAACCGGTCCACCACTAACAGCAGGAGCAACCTCCTCCAGCTTGTCACGGATGGATGTAATTTTATTATTAAAGAAGTGGAGAAAGTCGACACTGCTCAGTGAGCTTGGAATTTTAGGCTCGATTGCGCTATGGCAGTTTGTGAGTTTAGCGACGGTGCTAAACAAAAATCTACTGTTGTTTTTATTCGCTTCTATTAAAGTTGAATAGTATTGAGTTCGAGCCCCGCGAAGGGCATTCTTGTAGTTTCGGAGACCTGCTTTCCACTCCCTGTGGACAGGCTCCGAGTGGGAGTGGCGATATAGCCTCTCCAATTTTCTGACGTCCTGTTTTAAAGTGTGGAGTTGAACACTGTACCAGGGCGACGATGATCTAATCCTAATGGTTTTCTGTTTTAAAGGAGCTGCTGCATTTAATGCAGATTTGAAAGACTCCATAGTGTTGTCCACCGTTTGGTCAATGACTGAGGGACTGCAGCTGCTGTGAACAGGTTCACCTGCAGCAGTATTCAACATAGGCTGTATTAGTTCTTTGAACCTTGTGATAGATTTATCATTTAAGGTTCTTTTCATTATGGTTTTATCTTGCGGGACAGGAAAGTCCTCCAAAGCGAGATCAAACGTGATCAAGAAATGGTCAGACAGCAACGAGCTTTGACGCTGGATGTCAACATTGGAGACATCACAGCCGTAGGTCAGGACAAGGTCCAAGGTGTGGTTATGAATGTGAGTAGGTTCCTCAACATTCTGAGTAAAACCAACACCATCTAGTACGGCGCTGAAAGCTTTGTTTAAGCTGTCAGTGCTGTCGTCCACATGTATATTGAAGTCTCCAGCTATAACTATGTTTTCCCATTCCAAAACTAGGTTTGAAATGAAGTCAGAGAATTCTGTTAGGAACTCGCTGTAAGGACCAGGAGGTCGGTATAAAACTATAAATAGTACTGCTTTTTGTTTTCTCCACCCAGGACAGGTGATTGAAAGTGTTAAGTTTTCAAACGAGTGAAAAGCATTGTTGGTTTTGGGACTAAGAACCAAGTTGGTGTGTGATATAATCGCAACACCACCGCCGCGACCTGTAGCTCTGGCTTTCTGGTAGTTAACATGCGTCGGAGGAGTGCACTCATTCAATCTAACGTACTCGTCCTGTTGGAGCCAAGTCTCCGAGAGCGCAAACAGATCCAAGCCCTTGTCTATAATAAGTTCGTTTATGAGAAGCGATTTAGACGAGATTGATCTGACGTTCATTAAACCACATTTAACAACCCTACTGTTAGAACTATTTCTGTCTGTCTGAACTTTTATTAAGTTACTGTGTCTGACACCTAGGTCAGATTTCCTCATATAGTGCTTTAGACTTCAAGCGGGGAACACACACAGTTTCAATCTGACTAGGTTCTGAGGCTAGTAACTGAGCACACACAGGCACACACACACATGCACACACAGTTTCAATCTGACTAGCTTCTGAGGCTAGTAACTGAGCACACACACACACACACACACACACACACACACACACACACACACACACACACACACACACACAGGCACACACAGTTTCAATCTGACTAGCCTCTGAGGCTAGTAACTGAACAGATGGGGGCTCAGAGGTTGTGGCAGAGCAGCTCTGCACCCGGGCCTCAGTTCTGCATCGTCATTTGAGCCGAGCAGAACAGTTTAGAGCCAGGGCCAAATTCTTAGCCAAAAGGGATGTACCCGCCAACGTTGGGTGGATATCATCCGAGCGGATGAGACCGGGCTTTCCCCAAAAGGCACTCCAATTGTCAACATGAACAACACCACTTGGAGGGCACCAGCCAGACAGCCAGCGGTTGAAAGCCGAGTGTCTGCTGAATGCTTCTGCACTGCTAGTGCTAGGTAGGGGCCCAGAAAAGATGACAGTGTCGGCCATTGTGCTAGCCAGCTTGCACACGGCGGCGACTTGCAGCTTCAACACCTCGGACTGTTTCCGCCGAACGTCATTACCACCCGCGTGAATAACAATTCGACGGAAACGCTGCTTGTGGGTCATCATGAGCCTCAGATTCCCTTCAATATCACCAAGCCTGGCCCCAGGGAAGCACCGAACAGTGGCTCCTGGGATCTTAACACCTCTAACAATAGAGGAGCCAATTACCAGCGCATCAGCGACTCTATCGGCTCTCTCAGCAGCTCTCTCAGCGGCTCTCTCAGTGGCTCTCTCAGCGGCTCTCTCAACAGCTCTCTCAGCAGCTCTCTCAGCAGCTCTCTCAGCAGCTCTCTCAGCAGCTCTCTCAGCGGCTCTCTCAGCGGCTCTCTCAGCGGCTCTCTCAGCAGCTCTCTCAGCTGCTCTCTCAGCCGCTCTCTCAGCAGCTCTCTCAGCGGCTCTCTCAGCGGCTCTCTCAGCGGCTCTCTCAGCGGCTCTCTCAACAGCTCTCTCAGCAGCTCTCTCAGCGGCTCTCTCAGCGGCTCTCTCAGCAGCTCTCTCAGCGGCTCTCTCAGCAGCTCTCTCAGCGGCTCTCTCAGCGGCTCTCTCAGCAGCTCTCTCAGCGGCTCTCTCAGCAGCTCTCTCAGCAGCTCTCTCTCAGCGGCTCTCTCAGCGGCTCTCTCAGCGGCTCTCTCAGCGGCTCTCTCAGCAGCTCTCTCAGCGGCTCTCTCAGCGGCTCTCTCAGCAGCTCTCTCAGCGGCTCTCTCAGCAGCTCTCTCAGCGGCTCTCTCAGCGGCTCTCTCAGCGGCTCTCTCAGCGGCTCTCTCAGCAGCTCTCTCAGCGGCTCTCTCAGCAGCTCTCTCAGCAGCTCTCTCAGCGGCTCTCTCAGCGGCTCTCTCAGCAGCTCTCTCAGCGGCTCTCTCAGCGGCTCTCTCAGCAGCTCTCTCAGCGGCTCTCTCAGCGGCTCTCTCAGCAGCTCTCAGCGGCTCTCTCAGCAGCTCTCTCAGCAGCTCTCTCAGCGGCTCTCTCAGCGGCTCTCTCAGCAGCTCTCTCAGCAGCTCTCTCAGCAGCTCTCTCAGCGGCTCTCTCAGCGGCTCTCTCAGCGGCTCTCTCAGCGGCTCTCTCAGCGGCTCTCTCAGCAGCTCTCTCAGCGGCTCTCTCAGCGGCTCTCTCAGCGGCTCTCTCAGCAGCTCTCTCAGCAGCTCTCTCAGCAGCTCTCTCAGCGGCTCTCTCAGCGGCTCTCTCAGCAGCTCTCTCAGCAGCTCTCTCAGCGGCTCTCTCAGCGGCTCTCTCAGCAGCTCTCTCAGCGGCTCTCTCAGCGGCTCTCTCAGCGGCTCTCTCAGCAGCTCTCTCAGCGGCTCTCTCAGCGGCTCTCTCAGCGGCTCTCTCAGCGGCTCTCTCAGCGGCTCTCTCAGCAGCTCTCTCAGCGGCTCTCTCAGCGGCTCTCTCAGCAGCTCTCTCAGCGGCTCTCTTAGCGGCTCTCTCAGCGGCTCTCTCAGCAGCTCTCTCAGCGGCTCTCTCAGTGGGGCCTTCTTCCCCGACAGAGCGTCCCAGCGATTGTAAATGCTAACAGGAGGAGGCCCAATGGGGAAACTACCAACAACACGTGGCCCTCTCCGAACAGTCACAAAGCCATCACTATCCTGGTCTTGTCCCAGCTGCGGAGGACGGGCTGGGAGGCTAGGCTCGCTAGTTCTCCTCTGCCTTTCCCTAAAGCTGCGCTCCGCTGTCCCTGAGGATACGGCCTGGCTGTAGCTAATGCTAGCGCTAGCTCGAGACTCCAGTGCTCGGAGACGCAGCTCTAACTCACTGACCCTGGATTCCAGAGCTACGACTACACTACACTTCACACATCTATCACTACCCTCAGAGAAGGATCCAGGGTTTAGACTCGCCATATGGCAACTCGAGCAGTAAAGGATTGAGGGAGAGACAGCAGCCGCCATAGTAGCGAGTTAGCGGCTAGGCTAGGCTAAGCTAGGCTAGGCTAAGCTAGTACGGATCCGGGCCCGCACAACAGACTCCGAGACCAGACAAACAACCGCTACCTAAACCTCAGCTGCAGTACAGCTGACTCGGAGTGCTTACACAGTTAGCTTGGTGTACAATACGTGGATTTGTAATGTGTTTGTGCAAACAGAGAGCAGAGTGATAGCAGTCAAGAAACACGCTCACCGGATACAGGAAGTCACCGGATACAGGAAGTCACCGGATACAGGAAGTCACCGGATACAGGAAGTCACCGGATACAGGAAGTCACCGGATACAGGAAGTCACGTCACCATGCAGAGTGGAGCATGGTAAAAGTTATCTTTTACCATCTGATACCAATTGATACCAACAGACAGGGAAGGGCAGGTCCAACAGACACCACAGGATCTCCTGCAGCAGACAGACAGGGAAGGGCAGGTCCAACAGACACCACAGGATCTCCTGCAGCAGACAGACAGGGAAGGGCAGGTCCAAAAGACACCACAGGATCTCCTGCAGCAGACAGACAGGGAAGGGCAGGTCCAACAGACACCACAGGATCTCCTGCAGCAGACAGACAGGGAAGGGCAGGTCCAACAGACACCACAGGATCTCCTGCAGCAGACAGACAGGGAAGGGCAGGTCCAACAGACACCACAGGATCTCCTGCAGCAGACAGACAGGGAAGGGCAGGTCCAACAGACACCACAGGATCTCCTGCAGCAGACAGACAGGGCAGGGCAGGTCCAACAGACACCACAGGATCTCCTGCAGCAGACAGACAGGGAAGGGCAGGTCCAACAGACACCACAGGATCTCCTGCAGCAGACAGACAGGGAAGGGCAGGTCCAACAGACACCACAGGATCTCCTGCAGCAGACAGACAGACAGGGCAGGTCCAAAAGACACCACAGGATCTCCTGCAGCAGACAGACAGGGAAGGGCAGGTCCAACAGACACCACAGGATCTCCTGCAGCAGACAGACAGGGAAGGGCAGGTCCAACAGACACCACAGGATCTCCTGCAGCAGACAGACAGGGAAGGGCAGGTCCAACAGACACCACAGGATCTCCTGCAGCAGACAGACAGGGAAGGGCAGGTCCAACAGACACCACAGGATCTCCTGCAGCAGACAGACAGGGAAGAGCAGGTCCAACAGACACCACAGGATCTCCTGCAGCAGACAGACAGGGAAGGGCAGGTCCAAAAGACACCACAGGATCTCCTGCAGCAGACAGACAGGGAAGGGCAGGTCCAACAGACACCACAGGATCTCCTGCAGCAGACAGACAGGGAAGGGCAGGTCCAACAGACACCACAGGATCTCCTGCAGCAGACAGACAGGGAAGGGCAGGTCCAAAAGACACCACAGGATCTCCTGCAGCAGACAGACAGGGAAGGGCAGGTCCAACAGACACCACAGGATCTCCTGCAGCAGACTGACAGGGAAGGGCAGGTCCAACAGACACCACAGGATCTCCTGCAGCAGACAGACAGGGAAGGGCAGGTCCAACAGACACCACAGGATCTCCTGCAGCAGACAGACAGGGAAGGGCAGGTCCAACAGACACCACAGGATCTCTTGCAGCAGACAGACAGGGAAGGGCAGGTCCAACAGACACCACAGGATCTCCTGCAGCAGACAGACAGGGAAGGGCAGGTCCAACAGACACCACAGGATCTCCTGCAGCAGACAGACAGGGAAGGGCAGGTCCAACAGACACCACAGGATCTCCTGCAGCAGACAGACAGGGAAGGGCAGGTCCAACAGACACCACAGGATCTCCTGCAGCAGACAGACAGGGAAGGGCGGGTCCAACAGACACCACAGGATCTCTTGCAGCAGACAGACAGGGAAGGGAGGGTCCAACAGACACCACAGGATCTCCTGCAGCAGACAGACAGGGAAGGGAGGGTCCAACAGACACCACAGGATCTCCTGCAGCAGACAAACAGGGAAGGGAGGGTCCAACAGACACCACAGGATCTCCTGCAGCAGACAGACAGGGAAGGGCAGGTCCAACAGACACCACAGGATCTCCTGCAGCAGACAGACAGGGAAGGGCAGGTCCAACAGACACCACAGGATCTCCTGCAGCAGACAGACAGGGAAGGGCAGGTCCAACAGACACCACAGGATCTCCTGCAGCAGACAGACAGGGAAGGGCAGGTCCAACAGACACCACAGGATCTCCTGCAGCAGACAGACGGGGAAGGGAGGGTCCAACAGACACCACAGGATCTCCTGCAGCAGACAAACAGGGAAGGGAGGGTCCAACAGACACCACAGGATCTCCTGCAGCAGACAGACAGGGAAGGGCAGGTCCAACAGACACCACAGGATCTCCTGCAGCAGACAGACAGGGAAGGGCAGGTCCAACAGACACCACAGGATCTCCTGCAGCAGACAGACAGGGAAGGGCAGGTCCAACAGACACCACAGGATCTCCTGCAGCAGACAGACAGGGAAGGGCAGGTCCAACAGACACCACAGGATCTCCTGCAGCAGACAGACAGGGAAGGGCAGGTCCAACAGACACCACAGGATCTCCTGCAGCAGACAGACAGGGAAGGGCAGGTCCAACAGACGCGTCTGTTCCCCTCGTCAAATCACTTCTTCTCCGTTGTAGGGTTTGGGAAGTTGTGTAAAGACACTATCCTTATTTACATCAGATTCAGATTCAGTTTATTTGCCATTTGCAGTAAAACCACATTGGAATACATTAGCAAAAGTCTCCAGTGTGCACAGACAAATACAGACATAAAACAACATTAAAAGACAGAAATAAAACAAGTAAAACAGTAAACAAATGTCACTGTGAAATCGATCGACTAAAACAGTTTCAAAACAAGTGCAAAATTGCAAATCATTAAAGTGCTCTGTTCCCACTGATAACAGCCTGTGGAAAGAAGCTGTTAGCATAGCGAGATGTCTTGCATCTCAGCGACCGATATCTTCTGCCAGAGGGAAGAAGCTGGAACATGGCTTTCCCAGGGTGGCCAGAAGAGTCATTAACAATCCTAAGAGCTTTGTTTAAAAGTCTGGATTTGTAAAGAACCTCCAGAACAGGAAGCTCACAGCCCACGGTCCTCTTTGCAGAGCGGAGCACCTTGTTTAAAGCTCTCTTTTCTTTATCTGTGATGTTTCCAAACCACACAGACACAGAACCAACAAGTAAACTCTCAATGGTGCAGCCATAAGCGACGCACTTTTTCCACCTCGTTATTGGCAATAAGGCGAACAAAAGTTTAAAAAAGCGTTGGAGTAAGAGTAGGCCTGTGTTTGGATTCAGAATGTCATTCACCTACGTCACACATCAGGGGCATGTTTTTAACTGGTCATTTCAGAAAATGTAATAATTTACATAATTGTCTTTTTTTCCGTTTTCTTTTGTTCCCTAAAATGTTTATATGGCTCTAACCTTACAAAAACTGCAATTGGTAAAATAAAATTCTAATACTACTTTAAAAATCAATGTATAATGCTTTTCCAAAGAACACTGAAGCGCACGCTTACAAACCACTGGTAAGTGCTGACTACAAGTTATGACTTCAAATTGTTATATAGAATTATTACTATGTTTGTGTAAGCTCTCAGTCGTACAGGGATTAGTCAAAGCAAAGGAAGGTTTCTCACCCATCATCTGTACTTCTTAGCAAGTTTTCCCGACGTTTGGTCCTCAATCCAAAGGACTTCTTCAGGGAATGAATTCTCGGACCGCGCGTTGGAGATTTATAACCTATGGGTGTGGTTAGCCACGCCCTAATCCTGATACTAACTCATAAACAATCTAAGGTCTGATGTAGAAGGGAGCAGGTCTAACGACCCTGCTGAGGCTAACGACCCTAACTCCTTAGCATGTCACTGACCTATTGTCTGCTGGGATGCTCAAGTGGAGTGCAGGTTTCACCCCTCCTAACTCATTAGCATGTCACAGACCTATTGTCTGCTGGGATGCTCAAGTGGAGTGCAGGTTTCACCCCTCCTAACTCATTAGCATGTCACTGACCTATTGTCTGCTGGGATGCTCAAGTGGAGTGCAGGTCTCACCCCTCCTAACTCATTAGCATGTCACTGACCTATTGTCTGCTGGGATGCTCAAGTGGAGTGCAGGTCTCACCCCTCCTAACTCATTAGCATGTCACTGACCTTGTCCCAAGTTAGGGCGTTGTTTTTAGGATGTCGTCATAGATGCGAGGCAAAACAAATCTTAACCCTCCTCCTCTGTTAAGAGAAGGTTTTTGTTTCCTCACAAAAATGGCTTCTTTCACCCCTCTTTCAAACCAATTCTTCTCCCGAGCCAGAATTTTAACCTCTGTGTCATCCACCGTGTGGTTGGAAGCCTTGAGGTGGAGATGAACAGCCGACTGTGGCCCACTAGAGTTTTCTCTACGATGTTGGTAAAGTCGTTTCTGTAGAGTTTGTTTGGTTTCTCCAATATAGTGGTCAGTGCACTCCTCTTCACTACATTTAATTGAATACACCACATTGCTCTGTTTGTGTCTGGGTGTTTTGTCTTTGGGATGCACTAATTTCTGTCTTAACGTGTTGAAAGGTTTGAAATACACAGGGATTTTGTGTTGCCTAAAGATTCTTGTGTAGTTTCTCTGAAACTCCCGCCACATACGGTAAGGACACCCCTCTCCTCCTACTTTCTTCTGTCTGTAGGACTGTGTCTCTGGCCTTTCTCGTCCTTTGGGCTTTAGTAAAAGACCACTTGGGGTAGCCACATCTGGAAAGTGCTCTGAACATGTTTGGTTTCTCTGTTCTTTCCCTCCGAGCTAGTGGGGACCTGGTGGGCTCAGTGTTGAAGCGTTCTAATGACCCCGAGTTTATGTTGTAGCGGATGATTTGAATCAAAGGCCAGGTACTGGTCAGTGTGAGTGGACTTTCTGAAGACCTCAGTCTCTAATTGTCCGTTCTCCAGTATGATGACCTTACAATCTAGAAAGGCCAGTTCACTCTCCTTAGCATCCTCGCGAGTGAAATTTATAAAAGGGTCCACCGAGTTAATGTGTTCTGAAAATGGTTCCACTTCCTGCTTCTTTAACTTAACCCATGTATCGTCTACATATCGAAACCAATGGCTTGGCGCTGTCCCTTGGTAAGAGCCCAGGGCTTGTTCCTCCAGTTTCTCCATATACAGATTGGCCACAGTTAACCTGATAGTTAGTATCAGGATTAGGTTATAAATCTCAACGCGCGGTCTGAGAATTCATTCCAAAGATATTCCTACAATTGAAACATCACAGCACAGAAAGCAGCCATTAAATAAACAACAAACTAACTTAGAGTGAGGCCGGGCCCTCAGAACTGAGAGTCTCTAGCAACACCTCACAAGTGCGATGCCCCCACAAACCCAATGTCTCATTAGATGAGATGCAAAAAAGCATTAATGGCATTACAAAAGGATGAGAGTAAAACTATTTACCAGCTGACAAAGGCAGATGCACAGTTATCCTCAACAGCTCAGACTAAGGACGGCCAAAGTTAACCAGTTACTCTTGGACACCAACACGATACAGCCATTGAAGAGGGACACCTACCAGTGGGTTTAGGAAAAAAGATTATAGACTTCCTTCAGAGCTTAGTGAAAGAGGGCATTAATTAAAAAACCACTATATTACAAACTTTACCCAGGAGACACCATTCCCGTATTTATAGGACCTCCCAAAAATACACAAACAAAACTTTCCATCTTCGGCCTATTGTATGTAGCATAGACTCTTCACCTACAACCGTGCTAAACACCTCAAAACCATTCTCGGTTTCTCTCTCTGGTCTCTACAGTGTAAAAGATGATCGTACCTGTATATGGTTGAGCTGAAGCCTGGTTTAGAGGTCTCTCTCTCTCTGGTCTCTCTCTCTGGTCTCTCTCTCTGGTCTCTCTCTCTGGTCTCTCTCTCTGGTCTCTCTCTGGTCTCTCTCTGGTCTCTCTCTCTGGTCTCTCTCTCTGGTCTCTCTCTCTGGTCTCTCTCTCTGGTCTCTCTCTCTGGTTTCTCTCTCTGGTTTCTCTCTCTGGTCTCTCTCTCTGGTCTCTCTCTCTGGTCTCTCTCTCTCTGGTCTCACTCTCTCTGGTCTCTCTCTCTGGTCTCTCTCTCTGGTCTCTCTCTCTGGTTTCTCTCTCTGGTCTCTCTCTCTCTCTCTGGTCTCTTCTCTCTGGTCTCTCTCTCTCTCTCTCTGGTCTCTCTCTCTGGTCTCTCTCTCTCTGGTCTCTCTCTCTCTCTCTCTGTCTCTGGTCTCTCTCTCTGGTCTTCTCTCTCTGGTCTCTACAGTGTAAAAGATGATCGTACCTGTATATGGTTGAGCTGAAGCCTGGTTTAGAGGTCTCTCTCTCTCTGGTCTCTCTCTCTCTGGTTTCTCTCTCTGGTCTCTCTCTCTGGTCTCTCTCTCTGGTCTCTCTCTCTGGTCTCTCTCTCTGGTCTCTCTCTCTGGTCTCTCTCTCTGGTCTCTCTCTCTGGTCTCTCTCTCTGGTCTCTCTCTCTGGTCTCTCTCTCTGGTCTCTCTCTCTGGTTTCTCTCTCTGGTTTCTCTCTCTGGTCTCTACAGTGTAAAAGATGATCGTACCTGTATATGGTTGAGCTGAAGCCTGGTTTAGAGGTCTCTCTCTCTCTGGTCTCTCTCTCTCTGGTTTCTCTCTCTGGTCTCTCTCTCTGGTCTCTCTCTCTGGTCTCTCTCTCTGGTCTCTCTCTCTGGTTTCTCTCTCTGGTCTCTCTCTCTGGTCTCTCTCTCTGGTCTCTCTCTCTGGTCTCTCTCTCTGGTTTCTCTCTCTGGTTTCTCTCTCTGGTCTCTCTCTCTGGTCTCTCTCTCTGGTCTCTCTCTCTGGTTTCTCTCTCTGGTCTCTCTCTCTGGTCTCTCTCTCTGGTCTCTCTCTCTGGTCTCTCTCTCTGGTTTCTCTCTGTGGTCTCTACAGTGTAAAAGATGATCGTACCTGTATATGGTTGAGCTGAAGCCTGGTTTAGAGGTCTCTCTCTCTCTGGTCTCTCTCTCTCTGGTCTCTCTCTCTGGTTTCTCTCTCTGGTCTCTCTCTCTGGTCTCTCTCTCTGGTTTCTCTCTCTGGTCTCTCTCTCTGGTTTCTCTCTCTGGTCTCTACAGTGTAAAAGATGATCGTACCTGTATATGGTTGAGCTGAAGCCTGGTTTAGAGGTCTCGCTGGACTGCACAAAGCCACTATGGCACCATCTCCTTTCCCTTCTGCTGGTCCACTCTCCCCCACCTCCTCCTGCTCCTCCTGCTCCTCCTCCTTCTCCTCCTCCTCCTCTGCCTTCTGCTGTGTTTGCCTCTGGTGTCCCTCCCCACACGCCTCCTTCACCCGGTCCTCCAGCTCTCTGAGCTCCTGTGTGAAAGCTTCGATGCTGATGCCCTGTCCATTCGACTCTACAGGACTTTTGGAATCTTCCGACGACTGCTCCAGCAACTCCTCTATCAGGCTCTCCACGGATTGGTCGCTCTCCGCCAGCTCCTGTGATGGGTTCGATCCCCGGTTCTTCCTCTCACTAAAGCTCCCACAACCTTGCGGCGTGCACTGCATCCCGTTCTGATGGGCGTTCTCGTCCAACGGTTGCTTATCTCCAAAGTCTCTTTTCACCTTTTTCACTTCTAACCCTCGATCTTGACTGTCGTTTTGTGATGTGCCGTTGAGCAAGGATTGGTAGTTGACGGTGACAGCAGTAGCCGGGTTATGTGGTGCTGAAGACATGTGTAAAGTCATATTTGCCGATGGCGTTCCCGAAGACGGAACTAAAGCAGGGACAGGCTTCGGCAACAGCTCCTCTCGCTGTAGGCTGCGTTTCTTGGACCTTGGCGTCAGACTAATGCAGTTATTCTTCCCAATTGTAACGTCCCACTCTCCGCTGTCTCTCTCCGAACTGCTCCACTCCGATCTGGCAGCTGCCACGATGGCCGCTCTCTGGTTCGGAGGAGTGCTGGAGCTGCTGCTGCACTGAGCAGAGAAGTGCTCAGGAAACATGGCCATGGCTGGGTTGGAGGTGGGAGGCGGGGGTGGTAGAGGAGCTGAGTTTGGGGACGGATTCTCGCCATCGTAGGGAGCGGACCAGTGTCGGCAAGCCCAGGAGCAGATCTCAACACTCTTACGGGCGTCTTTGAGGTATTCCAGGTATCCACAGTCCCACTCCAGGCATTCTGTGAGGTTCTGAGGGGAGGTCTGGGAGCTCTCTGGAGGCTGCTCAGTGGGAGGGGACTGGGAGGAGCCGAGGGACTGGGAGGAGCCGCTGCTTTGCTGACGCATGAAGAAGGAGAGACGAGAGGGAGTACTGGGTCTGTGCGGAGACTCGGAGGACGGACTGGAGAACCCTGGGAAACACATGTTAGGAGCACGTGTTAGAGACACGTGTTAGAGACTGTAGAGAGAGACCAGAGAGAGAACGGAGAGAGACCAGAGAGAGACCAGAGAGAGACCAGGGAGAGACCAGAGAGAGACCAGAGAGAGACCAGAGAGAGACCAGAGAGAGACCAGAGAGAGACCAGAGAGAGAGACCAGAGAGAGACCAGAGAGAGACCAGAGAGAGAACGGAGAGAGACCAGAGAGAGAACTGAGAGACCAGAGAGAGACCAGAGAGAGACCAGAGAGAGAACGGAGAGAGACCAGAGAGAGAACTGAGAGACCAGAGAGAGACCAGAGAGAGACCAGGGAGAGACCAGGGAGAGACCAGAGAGAGACCAGAGAGAGACCAGAGAGAGAGCAGAGAGAGACCAGAGAGAGAGACCAGAGAGAGACCAGGGAGAGACCAGAGAGAGACCAGAGAGAGACCAGAGAGAGACCAGAGAGAGACCAGAGAGAGACCAGAGAGAGACCAGAGAAGACCAGAGAGAGACCAGAGAGAGAGACCAGAGAGAGAGACCAGAGAGAGACCAGAGACAGAGAGAGACCAGAGAGAGACCAGAGAGAGACCAGAGAGAGACCAGAGAGAGACCAGGGAGACCAGAGAGAGACCAGAGAGAGAGACCAGAGAGAGAGACCAGAGAGAGACCAGGGAGAGACCAGAGAGAGACCAGAGAGAGACCAGAGAGAGACCAGAGAGAGAGACCAAAGAGAGACCACAGAGAGACCAGAGAGAGACCAGAGAGAGAGACCAAAGAGAGACCACAGAGAGACCAGAGAGAGAGACCAGAGAGAGACCAGAGAGAGAGACCAGAGAGAGACCAGAGAGAGACCAGAGAGAGACCAGAGAGAGAGACCAGAGAGAGACCAAAGAGAGACCACAGAGAGACCAGAGAGAGAGACCAGAGAGAGAGACCAGAGAGAGAGACCAAAGAGAGAGACCAGAGAGAGAGACCAGAGAGAGAGACCAGAGAGAGACCAAAGAGAAAGACCAGAGAGAGACCAAACTGGAGCAGACCTTTTCCCCAGAAGGCAGTGTCGTCCTCCCGGTCTGCAGGGGGCCCTGTGCTCTGTCGGCAGCACTCTGGGATCAACGACAGAAACTTGTTGGCAGATTTCCCGTAGAGGTCGGTCTCTCTGATGGCTCTGCGCTGACTGAGCATCACGTGAGTGCAGGGCAGAAGATACCTGCGGGGTCAGAGGTCAGAAGATACCTGCGGGGTCAGTGGTCAGAAGATACCTGCGAGGTCAGTGGTCAGAAGATACCTGCGAGGTCAGTGGTCAGAAGATACCTGCGAGGTCAGTGGTCAGAAGATACCTGCGGGGTCAGAGGTCAGAAGATACCTGCGGGGTCAGTGGTCAGAAGATACCTGCGAGGTCAGTGGTCAGAAGATACCTGCGAGGTCAGTGGTCAGAAGATACCTGCGAGGTCAGTGGTCAGAAGATACCTGCGAGGTCAGTGGTCAGAAGATACCTGCGAGGTCAGTGGTCAGAAGATACCTGCGAGGTCAGTGGTCAGAAGATACCTGCGAGGTCAGTGGTCAGAAGATACCTGCGGGGTCAGAGGTCAGAAGATACCTGCGAGGTCAGTGGTCAGAAGATACCTGCGGGGTCAGAGGTCAGAAGATACCTGCGGGGTCAGTGGTCAGAAGATACCTGCGGGGTCAGAGGTCAGAAGTCACCTGCGAGGTCAGTGGTCAGAAGATACCTGCGGGGTCAGTGGTCAGAAGATACCTGCGGGGTCAGAGGTCAGAAGATACCTGCGGGGTCAGTGGTCAGAAGATACCTGCGGGGTCAGAGGTCAGAAGTCACCTGCGAGGTCAGTGGTCAGAAGATACCTGCGAGGTCAGGGGCCAGATGTCAGGGGTCAGAGGCCAGACACTCTGACATCGCACTGACATCTCTGACGTCACTCTGAGTGGCGTCAGAGATGTCAGCGTGACATCAGAGTGATGTCAAAGTGACGTCACAATAGATGCGTTTCCATTGAATAATGCGCAAAAACCTTTTCGATACATTGCAAAATTCGAAAAAACCTGTATTTCGTAAAAGCGGCCGTTTCCATCAAGACATATTCGAATAAGTATACACTATTTTCGCGCGTTCATTCACTAGTTTCTAGTACGTCAACATGGCAACAGAAGTAAACAACACTTTGATTTACGTGAGATATATTAATGTCTTGACTTCTGCTGCGGCTCTCATCATTAACCGGTGTAACGCCGAGATACACTGCCTTGAAGAGATGCACAGCCTCAGCTGTTAATGATGTAATGCAAACCTGCGCGACTCACGGCAGCCGAAGCAAACCAAGATGGCGGACCGTGAATTGCTTTAAAAGTTGAAATACGAAAGAATTAAGACACGAATGTCACTTTTAATGCAATTTGAGGCGAGATGTTGATGGTTCCGTTTTGTCACATGTGGGTTTTAAGAGTCAAAGTTTCGTGCAAAGTTTAGTTTAAGCAGTCAACTGCGCCTGTGAAACCACAAAGCTAATGTTTTCATAGCAGTCCGCGGCTGCTGACGTAGGCTGCTGACGTAGGCTGATGACGTAGGCTGCTGACGTAGGCTGATGACGTAGGCTGATGACGTAGGCTGCTGACGTAGGCTGATGACGTAGGCTGCTGACGTAGGCTGCTGACGTAGGCTGATGACGTAGGCTGATGACGTAGGCTGCTGACGTAGGCTGCTGACGTAGGCTGATGACGTAGGCTGCTGACGTAGGCTGATGACTCGTCCTGTGGCCACTCTACAGCTTACAACTGGTCTGTCGGGTTGATAATGGAAAATGGGGAAAAAAATCAATCTAATTAAATATTTTGTTTGAACACACTATTGTTAATCATATTAAATACAGTACGATACATGTATTGAATGAAATTTATTATTTCCATTATCAACCCGACAGACCAGTGTAAGAGTGTAGAGTGGCCACAGGACGCGTCATCAGCCTACGTCAGCAGCCTACGTCAGCAGCCTACGTCAGCAGCCTACGTCAGCAGCCTACGTCATCAGCCTACGTCAGCAGCCTACGTCAGCAGCCTACGTCAGCAGCCTACGTCATCAGCCTACGTCAGCAGCCTACGTCAGCAGCCTACGTCATCAGCCTACGTCAGCAGCCTACGTCAGCAGCCGCGGACTGCTATGAAAACATTAGCTTTGTGGTTTCACAGGCGCAGTTGACTGCTTAAACTAAACTTTGCACAAAACTTTGACTCTTAAAACCCACATGTGACAAAACGGGACCATCAACATCTCGCCTCAAATTGCATTAAAAGTGACATTCGTGTCTTAATTCGTTCGTATTTCAACTTTTAAAGCAATTCACGGTCCGCCATCTTGGTTTGCTTCGGTTGCCGTGAGACGCGCATGCGCAGGTTTGCATTACATCATAAACAGCTGAGGCTGTGCATCTCTTCAAGACAGTGTATCTTGGCGTTACACCGGATTAAGCGTCAGTATCTCCTTCTAGTGTAATGGAGCGCCGATCTCCGTATACTTGGGAGAGGATGCGGATGAGAACCTTTTGGAAAGTCGTGGTACATGATTTCACAGAGGAACTATGGATCCAAAACTTTAGAATGACGCGCACAACATTTGAGGAGCTGTGTGAAGCGGTGGGAGCGCTTGTGGCTCCCGCTGCACACTGCCCTAGAGAGGCAGTTCCCACAGAGAAGCGCATTGCCATTGCTATAACTATAAACTGTGCGGAGTATAGAGTAGTGGCTGAGACATCTGAGACATTTGGAGTGAGCAAGACCACAGTCCATCGGTGTGTTTATGGGGTGTGTAAGGCGTAATGTACAAAACTAATGAAGAAATACATCGCATTGCCAGATGTGAATGAGGCAAAAGACATTGCCATGCGTAATTATGCAGCGCAGGGCTGCCACAAATCTACGGAGCAATCGATGGATCACACATTTGTGCCCCGAAGGATGGATACAGGGATTACGTTAACAGAAAAGGGTGGCCATCCATTACCCTGCAGCAGAAGCGGTGCCAGGTTTGCAATTTTGGGTAGGCCTGCAGATTAGTTAGTATAGGCCAAATTCGCTCACAAACTACAAGGAGTAGCTGGAATTGAGATTTCAAATAATATGGTTCAAACGCACGCACGCACACGCACTCAAGCACACACATACACACAAGCTCATTTATGAAACTTGCGTAGAAAAAGTACATTTTGGGTGTATATTCCATTTACGCAAAATCCAACGTTGGATTTATGAACGTGTGAGATCAGCCCAGATCTGAGCTTACGCGGCTGCGGGTGTTGATAAATCGGCTGAATACGAACGTATTTATGAAAGTCACGCCTAAAATTATGTAGGTCTGCAGGAAGCCGGCCTAAAAGACTGTTTGGAAGCCTCAAAATGCACGTTTGTTTGTTCATGTTTATGTAAAAATAAATATACGCTATATATTCAGCTGCGTTATGAACAAATTTGCAAAAATGTTTTGATACAATAGAAAAATCTCTCTTGAATTGTAGAAGTGAATAATTATAGATTGATTGAATGAATTCATATATATTATGCAGCGGTGGCTCTGAATGAAGCGTCTGCAGCGTCTTGGACGCAGCCTGGCTCGGGGTAGAAGTGCGCATTGAGGCGCTGTACACTTCAGAGAGCGTTTGCGGTGCAGATTTCACAAAGAAACTCTGGAGCCAAAACTTCTGCACATTTGAGGAGTTATGTGGCCGACCTCTCATGGCACCTGCTCTGCATGCACTGCCAAGAGTGTGCAGCGTGTGGACGGTGAGACATTTGGAGTGAGCAATACCATAGTCCATCGGTGCATGGGGTGTGTGTCTGTGTGAGGCTTACACAAATCTAATGAAACACACATTGCTTTACCAGATGTGAGGAATACAAATATCTGTGCGTAATTACGCAGCAATAGCAATAGATGGGTCACACATGCCTGCTCCATAAAGTGTGTTTGTATAGAGCCTTTCACTGTCCAGGATCACAAAGCGCTTCACATTTAAAAACATACAGATCAAAATAACACACACAGAAGTCAGATTTAAAATCATAGAAACAGAAGAGGCTCTTCAATTTATTCAAACTTCGAATAAATCACAGATCATGATGATCTGTGATTTATTCGAAGTTTGCATGTTTCCAGAGTGTTAGACTTTTTCTGATGCTCAAATTTTAAAACACGATGCTCAATGAAAACACAGATTATAATGTTTCCAGAGGGAATATGTTTATTGTTGTCCATATCTTGAATTTCATGCGTGTTTTGGCGTGTTGTGCCGAAGGTTGAGATCAGCGTATAGATTTACACCAGTTCCAGACCTGGCGTATATTTTTTGCGTATTGTACGCTCACGTCCAGATTGATAAATGCGGAAAAGTGTAATATTTTGCGTATGCCTCATTTACCCTGATTTGGCCGTACGCAGGTTTCATACATGAGGCCCACAGTGAGGCCCACAGTGAGGCCCACAGTGAGGCCCACAGTGAGGCCTACAGTGAGGCCTACAGTGAGGCCCACAGTGAGGCCCACAGTGAGGCCCACAGTGAGGCCTACAGTGAGGCCCACAGTGAGGCCCACAGTGAGGCCCACAGTGAGTCTCACACAGGCCTAGAGTTTACCTCATCAGTGCGAGCCTGGCCTGACCCTCCTCCTCTGGGACCTACGGGCCCGGGCCTCTGGCTACTCTACCTCACAAAGTTCACGCTGAACTGTCTTAAAACTAAAATGAAAAAGGCTGCTCTGTTGTGAATGTTTTGAGAGCGTTGTCAATCTTTAAGACGAGGAATAGCTGTTGTTCTCGGGAACGAGCTTCACGCTGTGTGATATGATCATGCAGATTATTGGACAAAATTGTTTAGCCAATAAACACGACTATATTTGAAGCAACGTAGGAACGTGATGACGCTCAGGGGGTTATATTTTCTTAAAACATTAGAACGCAACATTTAGGCAATAATGTGTGTATAAAAATAACAAGCGTAAAATTTGCCACGGCTTTTCGTATCCTGCCTCGTTCATTTGTCTTTCCAGGTCTTTATAAATCGTTGCGTTCCTTTGCTGCTTTGTGTCCAATATGTTTGTAATCCCACTTTCCCGAATTAAATTAAAAAAGTAATTAGTTTCCTCGTGAGTCCAAACGTAGCGAGTCATGTTTCCTTGAGATGCTGCTACTTCCTGTTTTCTTCTTCTGTGTTTTGGGTTTATCAACACCCGGCTTCCTCTGCTATATCCAAATACAGTGCCTTGCGAAAGTATTGAACCTTTCAACATTTCGCCACATTTCAGGCTTCAAACATAAAGATATAAAAATTTAATTTTTTGTCATGAATCAACAACAAGTGGGACACAATCGTGAAGTGGAACGAAATGTATTGGATAATTTAAACTTTTTTAACAAATAAAAAACTGAAAAGTGGGGCGTGCAATATTATTGGGCCCCTTTACTTTCAGTGCAGCAAACTCAGTCCAGAAGTTCAGTGAGGATCTTTGAATGATCCAATGTTGTCCTAAATGACTGATGATGATAAATAGAATGCACCTGTGTGTAATCAAGTCTCTGTATAAATGCACCTGCTCTTTGATAGTCTCAGGGTTCTGTTTAAAGCACAGAGAGAACCATGAAGACAAAGGAACACACCAGGCAGGTCCGAGATACTGTTGTGGAGAAGTTTAAAGCCGGATTTGGATACAAAAAGATTTCCCAAGCTTTAAACATCTCAAGGAGCACTGTGCAAGCAATTATATTGAAATGGAAGGAGTATCAGACCACTGCAAATCTACCAAGACCCGGCCGTCCCTCCAAACTTTCATCTCAAACAAGGAGAAGACTGATCAGAGATGCAGCCAAGAGGCCCATGATCACTCTGGATGAACTGCAGATAACTACAGCTGAGGTGGGAGAGTCTGTCCATAGGACAACAATCAGTCGTGCACTGCACAAATCAGTGGCAAGAAGAAAGCCATTTCTCAAAGATATCCATAAAAAGTCTTGTTTAAAGTTTGCCACAAGCCACCTGGGAGACACACCAAACATGTGGAAGAAGGTGTTCTGGTCAGATGAAACCAAAATCAAACTTTTTGGCCACAATGCAAAACAATATGTTTGGCGTAAAAGCAACACAGCTCATCACCCTGAACACACCATCCCCACTGTCAAACATGGTGGTGGCAGCATCATGCTTTGGGCCTGCTTTTCTTCAGCAGGGACAGGGAAGATGGCTAAAATTGATGGGAAGATGGATGGAGCCAAATACAGGACCATTCTGGAAGAAAACCTGTTGGAGTCTGCAAAAGACCTGAGACTGGGACGGAGATTTATCTTCCAACAGGACAATGATCCAAAACATAAAGCCAAATCTACAATGGAATGGTTCACAAATAGACGTATCCAGGTGTTAGAATGGCCAAGTCAAAGTCCAGACCTGAATCCAATCGAGAATCTGTGGAAAGAGCTGAAGACTGCTGTTCACAAACGCTCTCCATCCAACCTCACTGAGCTCCAGCTGTTTTGCAAGGAAGAATGGGCAAGAATTCCAGTCTCTCGATGTGCAAAACTGATAGAGACATACCCCAAGCGACTTGCAGCTGTAATTGCAGCAAAAGGTGGCGCTACAAAGTATTAGCGCAAGGGGGCCGAATAATATTGCACGCCCCACTTTTCAGTTGTTTATTTGTTAAAAAAGTTTAAATTATCCAATAAATTTCGTTCCAATTCACGATTGTGTCCCACTTGTTGTTGATTCTTGACAAAAAATTTAAAATTTGTATCTTTATGTTTGAAGCCTGAAATGTGGAAAAATGTTGAAAGGTTCAAGGGGGCCAAATACTTTCGCAAGGCACTGTAAGTGTTTCCATTGCCGTTTTGCGATAAACTTAATTTCGATACGTCCAAAAAACCCACTAATTTTAAGCGCATTAACTTTTTATCGAAAAACTGTAATTAATTCGAAATTTGCGCGTTTCCATTAGACATTTTAAGATGCGCATATTCAAATTTCGAAATTTGATGCTCAATGGAAACGCAGCTAGTGACCTCACTCTGACCTCACTCTGACCTCACTCTGACGTCACTCTGACGTCACTCTGACGTCACTCTGACGTCACTCACCTCACTCTGACGTCACTCTGACGTCACTCTGACGTCACTCACCTCACTCTGACGTCACTCTGACCTCACTCTGACGTCACTCTGACGTCACTCTGACGTCACTCTGACGTCACTCTGACGTCACTCTGACCTCACTCTGACCTCACTCTGACCTCACTCTGACCTCACTCTGACGTCACTCTGACGTCACTCTGACGTCACTCTGACCTCACTCTGACCTCACTCTGACCTCACTCTGACCTCACTCTGACCTCACTCTGACCTCACTCTGACATCACTCTGACATCACTCTGACATCACTCTGACATCACTCTGACATCACTCTGACATCACTCTGACATCACTTTGACATCACTCTGACATCACTGACATCACTCTGACATCACTCTGACATCACTCTGACCTCACTCTGACCTCACTCTGACATCACTCTGACATCACTCTGACATCACTCTGACATCACTCTGACATCACTCTGACATCACTCTGACATCACTTTGACATCACTCTGACCTCACTCTGACCTCACTCTGACATCACTCTGACATCACTCTCACTGAGGCCTCAGTTACAGGGCCCCTCTCCACATGGTGATTCTCTCCAGAACCAGAGCTGGAGGATTTTGCCCAAACCGGAGCACCTGGAGGAAACCAATGCCGACTGGGATTCTAACTTATTGAAATTCAAATGTATTGAGATCCATAACATTTTTCTTAAACCACTCTATACATTCAAAAACAAATGCTATTGCTCCCTCAGGTGGCAGCGCAGGGAGTTACAGGCAGAACGTCTTTATGGAATACATTTCCAGCTGATAACTGTGTGAGTTCTAAGGAGAGCTCTGAGGAGAGCTACTGTGGAGAGCTCTGAGGAGAGCTACTGTGGAGAGCTACAGAGGAGAGCTGTGAGAAGAACTACAGAGGAGAGCTCTGAGGACAGCTCTAAGGAAGAATAAAAGGTTAAAGAGTTTCACCTGAGAATGAGCTGCAGCACGATGTCTTCACAATGAAGAGACAGAAGAGTCTGGAACAGGCTCAGAGACACCATACACAGCTGCACACAAGACCAGGACTTTAGAGACCAGGGGAGACCAACCTCAGTCCTGGGTCTACAGCCTCAGTCCTGGGTCTACAGCCTCAGTCCTGGGTCTACAGCCTCAGTCCTGGGTCTACAGCCTCAGTCCTGGGTCTACAGCCTCGGTCCTGGGTCTACAGCCTCAGTCCTGGGTCTACAGCCTCAGTCCTGGGTCCACAGCCTCAGTCCTGGGTCCACAGCCTCAGTCCTGGGTCTACAACCTCAGTCCTGGGTCTACAGCCTCGGTCCTGGGTCTACAGCCTCGGTCCTGGGTCTACAGCCTCGGTCCTGGGTCTACAGCCTCGGTCCTGGGTCTACAGCCTCGGTCCTGGGTCTACAACCTCAGTCCTGGGTCTACAACCTCAGTCCTGGGTCTACAACCTCAGTCCTGGGTCTACAGCCTCGGTCCTGGGTCTACAACCTCAGTCCTGGGTCTACAACCTCAGTCCTGGGTCTACAACCTCAGTCCTGGGTCTACAACCTCAGTCCTGGGTCTACAACCTCAGTCCTGGGTCTACAGTGTTACAAACCCTGGAGTTGCTGCTGATGCGAGTGAGCAGAGTGTCTAAGATGGTGTCGTTGTCGTGGCGATGGAGCAGGATGAAGCGGAGGAAGGTCCTGAGGAGGGAGGTCTCTGAGACCGAGCGTAGGAACAGGTCCAGGTACGCTGTGCTCGCGATCATCTCATCCACCGAGGACTGAGGGCAGAAGACAGAGGACAGAGGACTGAGGACAGAAAACTGAGGACAGAAGACTGAGGACAGAAGACTGAGGACAGAAGACTGAAGACTGAAGACTGAGGACAGAGGACAGAGGACAGAGGACAGAGGACTGAGGACAGAGGACAGAAGACTGAGGACAGAAGACTGAGGACAGAGGACTGAGGACTGAGGACAGAGGACTGAGGACTGAGGACAGAGGACTGAGGACAGAGGACAGAAGACTGAGGACAGAAGACTGAGGACAGAAGACTGAGGACAGAGGACAGAGGACAGAGGACAGAGGACAGAGGACTGAGGACTGAGGACAGAGGACTGAGGACAGAGGACAGAAGACTGAGGACAGAAGACTGAGGACAGAAGACTGAGGACAGAGGACTGAGGACAGAGGACTGAGGACAGAAGACAGAGGACAGAGGACAGAGGACTGAGGACTGAGGACAGAAGACAGAGGACAGAGGACTGAGGACAGAGGACAGAGGACTGAGGACAGAGGACAGAGGACAGAAGACTGAGGACAGAAGACTGAGGACAGAAGACTGAGGACAGAGGACTGAGGACAGAAGACTGAGGACAGAGGACAGAGGACAGAGGACAGAGACAGAGGCAGAGACAGAGACAGAGGCAGAGACAGAGACAGAGACAGAGACAGAGACAGAGACACAGAGACAGAGACAGAGACACAGAGACAGAGACAGAGACAGAGACACAGAGACAGAGACACAGAGACAGAGACAGAGACAGAGACAGAGACAGAGACAGAGGCAGAGGCAGAGACAGAGACACAGAGGCACAGAGACAGAGACAGAGACAGAGGCAGAGACAGAGACAGAGACAGAGGCAGAGGCAGAGACAGAGACAGAGGCAGAGACAGAGGCAGAGACAGAGACAGAGACAGAGGCAGAGGCAGAGACAGAGACAGAGGCAGAGACAGAGGCAGAGGCAGAGACAGAGACACAGAGGCACAGAGACAGAGACAGAGGCAGAGGCAGAGACAGAGGCAGAGACAGAGACAGAGGCAGAGACAGAGACAGAAACAGAGGCAGAGACAGAGGCAGAGGCAGAGACAGAGACAGAGGCAGAGGCAGAGACAGAGACAGAGGCAGAGACAGAGGCAGAGGCAGAGACAGAGACAGAGGCAGAGACAGAGGCAGAGGCAGAGACAGAGACACAGAGGCACAGAGACAGAGACAGAGGCAGAGGCAGAGACAGAGGCAGAGACAGAGACAGAGACACAGAGACAGAGGCAGAGACAGAGACAGAGAGCAGAGACACAGAGACAGAGGCAGAGACACAGAGACAGAGGCAGAGACACAGAGACAGAGGCAGAGACACAGAGACAGAGGCAGAGACAGAGACAGAGGCAGAGACACAGAGGCAGAGACAGAGGCAGAGACACAGAGACAGAGGCAGAGACACAGAGGCAGAGACAGAGACAGAGACAGAGACACAGAGGCAGAGACAGAGACAGAGGCAGAGACACAGACACAGAGGCAGAGGCACAGAGACAGAGGCAGAGACAGAGACAGAGGCAGAGACACAGAGACAGAGGCAGAGACAGAGACAGAGGCAGAGAGACAGAGGCAGAGACAGAGACAGAGACAGAGAGAGACAGAGACACAGAGGCAGAGACACAGAGGCCTCCATTAAAAATAGCAAAATCCTAGGAAACTTGTTCCTCTTTGCGACTGGAGGGGTTAGGGCATCCGGACTGGCAGTAAGCTTGTCAAGATCCAATTGAAGCTTGGCCTTGAGAGATTATTAACCCTAAAAAAAGAAACAGAAGAAGCATGTGAAACTGACACATTTCCTGCCTTGACAAAGAGCTTGTTTTCCCAAAAGTCTTTGTGCACCTTACGGACGTGTATCTTGTGGGTCTCAAGGTCCATGGAAAAAATGCAAAATTTCATCAATGTAAACGAAAACATATCTCCCAATCATATCCCTAGGACATCATTACCAACCCTGGAAGACGGCAGGAGCCATTAGTGTGCCCGAATGTCATAACTAAGGTATTCGAAATGGCCGAGTGGCGTATTAAAGCGGTCCTTCCACTCATCCCCCTCGCTAAACGCACAAGATGATACGCATTGCCAAATCCAATTTCGTGAAAATAGTGGAGCCACAGAGAGGGGTAAAAGCCGAACTGATCAAAGGGAGCGGGGACTTATTCTTCCCGTGATCTTATTAAGACCCCGAAAGTCAATGCAGGGCCTGAGTACTTGTCCTTCTTGGCAACGAAGGAAAAAAACCAGCACCCCCCGGTGAGGAGGACGGTCAAATTATCCCGGCAGCCAGAGACTCTTAGGATGTACCTCTCCATAGCTTCGGTTTTCCCGGGCGTGAGGGTTATACAGACGACTGCTAGCAAGGGAACCCCCGGAGGCAGATCACTGGCGCAATCATAGGGCCGAATGGGGTGCAGCGACAGGGCATGTTGTTTGCTGAACCACCGCCCAAGGTCATGATAGCAAGCGGAACAGCAGAGAGGTCCTGCGGTTATTCTAGGACAGGAGCAACCAAACAACCCAGGCAAGGCTGACTGTAACAATGGGAATGACAAAAAAACCCAAGTTATTACCCTCCAAGCGGCCCAATCTATATGCGGCTTATGCAACATTAACCAAGTAAGCCTAACCACAAGAGGCGAGTTGGTTGCAATCAAAGACAAGAAACGAAATAAATTCCTTGTGATTTGCCCCGAAATAAGTAGGAGACATGGAGAGTACGCTCCCGGTGACTTTAGCTAGTTGAGTTGTCCGTTAAGTGCTTATTAGCCTCCACGGAGTGCCCAGAGTCTCATCGTTATTTCCAACGGGGTGAATAACTTCACATCCAAAAAATTCTCATCACCCCTGAATCAATTAGTACAGGCATAATCCAAGGTCCTGATCTTGTAAAAACGAGAGTCGCCTGAAAAACATGGCTTTAGTAGGAGATGTACAGTTTCGTTCGCTCAGCAGTACTATCTCCCACTAGCTGCGGAGCGGGCAGCTTTTACTGGCCGCAAGGACAGAAGATAGGAATTGTCCCAACTGACCCAATAAAAACAGCACCCTGTGTTCAGACGGCGTTGTCTCTCCTCTTGGGATCAACACTGGCGCGGGCCAAGCTGCATGGGTTTTCAGGAGCAGAATAACTGGACAGAGCCATGGTACGCAGGAAAAAAAAGAAACTGGTGGAAGAGAGAGTTCCGAGATCCTACCTAGAGGAGTCTTACCGCCTCATCCCCGACGACGCTCCCTGAGGCGGTTGTCCACTTCTAATGACTGCATCAATTAGTTTCCTCTAAGGTGCTAGGAATGTCCCGAGAAAGCCATTTTCATCTCCTTGAGTGTGCAACAGGGAGTTTAAAAACGCTCCATGGAGAGCCTCGTCATTCAACAGCCCACTCTCTGCACAATGGACGAAAATTCAATGCACATTCTGCACACTGCGGTGTCCTTGGCGCAAGTTAAAAAGTCTTTTAGCGGCCCTTTCCACTGACAGGTGATCAAAAATTGTCTCATAGCAGCAATAAACTCATGGTAAGAAAAGCAAATCTGGGGCCCTGTTTCCCCACACAGCTGCAGCCCAATTAAGTGCATGGCACGAAACCACCAATTTAACAAGGAAATCTTAGCCCCGTACGCTTGAATAACTTAAAGGTTGATTGTTCGAAAAATCAAGGGAGCACTGGGTTAAGAAGACTTCAGATCCCATGGGGGGGGGGGGGGGGTCCCACATTAATGGTGCTGGAGGTGGGAAACAAACACTTCTCATGTGGGCAGCGGCTGGGCATGGGACGAGCCAGGAGTCGGAGCAGAACGTCCCATCGGCAAGCATTAATTACTTGAGTAACGTAGGCATGCGAGCTAACAAAATCTCCTTCATATGCTCCATCAGGGCCTTTAGGGAGTTGTCATGCTGCTGCCAATGAGACATTTGAGCAGCGACGGTCGGTTGAGTGGGTCTGAGTCTGCTGGGTTCATTCTGGCCAGATCGTACTGCGTCGTGGCAAAGAACCCAGATGCAGACCAGGGCGGTGTAACAAAATCTTTACTAAAGCCAAAATACAAAAAACAAATCACAAGGCAGGAACCAGATCTGGAACGGAACAAGGGCCGGGCGTGGCCGAGCGGAGATCTGCAGAAAAATGAGAAAAACAGGTAAGTCAAAAATATCACTCCACGGAGCAACCAGGTGAGTAGGCAAAACGCACTGTAACTGAGATTACGATCTGGCGTCGAGGAGCTGGCTTCAGAGGCACTTGTATCCACTTGATTGAGGAGTGGAGGCAGCTGGGCAGAGTCTGTGGCCGCTCCCGCACACCTGTCCCTGCTCAGGGAACAGGTAGGGGAGGGGGATGAGGCAGAGCCTCCAGAAGAATCAGGGGAGGGAGGAGTTGCTGGAGGAGCAGACCTGACAGTACCCCTTCCCCTACGGACGCCTCCAGGCGGACGCTTCTCCGGGTGAAGTGAATAGAAGTCCCGGATCAGGGAAGGGTCCAAGACATTCCGACGTGGAACCCAACACCGCTCCTCTGGCCCATAACCCTCCCAGTCCACCAAGAACTGCAGGCCCCGACCCCGCCGCCGAACGTCCAGAATCCGGCGAACTGTAAACGCAGGGTGGTCGTCCACCAACATGGGAGAAGGGGGGGGCGGACAGGGAGGAGACAAGGGACTGGACAGGACAGGCTTGATCAAGGATACATGGAAGGTTGGGTGAATCTTTAAAGAAGAGGGCAGCGTAAGGCGCACCGCAGAAGGGTTTACAACTGCTTCCACCTTGAAGGGTCCAATGAACCGTGGAGAAAGCTTCTTGGACTCCACCTTAAGCGGTAGGTCTTTAGTAGAAAGCCATACCTCCTGTCCAGGCACATACACTGGGGCCGGGGTGCGACGACGGTTGGCTTGGGTTTGAGACCTGGTAGAGGCACGCACCAGGGCCAACCGGGCCTTGGTCCACGTCCTGTGGCAGCGGCGAACGTGATCCTGAACAGAGGGTACTGCCAACTCCTGGTCCTGGTCTGCAAAGAGGGGTGGTTGATAGCCGTAACAACATTCGAAAGGAGACATACCCAGGGAGGAGTTCTGCAGAGTGTTGTGGGCATACTCTACCCAGGGGAGTTGAGAGCTCCAGCTGGAAGGGCAGGTAGAGGACACACAGCGCAGGGCTACCTCCATTTGCTGGTTCGCTCTCTCAGTCTGTCCATTAGTCTGAGGGTGATATCCAGAGGAGAGGCTGACATTAATATCCAATGCAGAACAGAAAGCCCTCCATACCTGGGCGGTGAACTGAGGACCCCTGTCCGAAACTATGTCAGTGGGTATGCCATGCAGCCGGAATACGTGGTTCACCAACAGATCAGCCGTTTCTTTAGAGGAAGGGAGTTTTGGGAGGGGAACAAAATGAGCAGACTTAGAAAACCTGTCGACAATGGTGAGTACCACCGTATGACCATAAGAAGGCGGGAGACCCGTAACAAAATCCAGAGCGATGTGTGACCAGGGACGGCTGGGGATGGGAAGAGGGCGCAAAAAACCAGACGGGGGCTTATTCGAAGTCTTATTCATAGAGCACACAGAACAAGCGGAAACAAAGTCTCGAGTATCTCTTTCCATGGTCGGCCACCAAAACCTTTGTCTCAAAACAGCCAGGGTGCGATTAACTCCTGGGTGGCATGTGAGACGGGTGCAGTGTGCCCATTGGAGAACCTGAGAACGGACAGAGTCAGGAACAAACAAAGATCCAGGGGGGCCTGTCCCAGGATCAGGATGAGTCTGTTGAGCAAGACTGACTTGCGACTCAATTTCCCAAGTAACAGAAGCCACAATGCGGGAGGGGTGCAGAATTGGGTCACTAACCGGAGTTAGGGTATCTGCACAAAACACTCGAGACAAGGCATCAGGTTTCATATTTTTAGAACCAGGGCGAAAGGTCAGAGAAAAGTCAAAACGATCAAAAAAAAGGGCCCACCTGGCTTGCCTGGAGTTCAGACGCTTGGCGGTCTGGATGTATGTCAAGTTCTTGTGATCTGACCAAACAATGAAGGGATGAACTGCACCCTCGAGCCAGTGACGCCACTCCTCCAGAGCGAGTTTGATGGCCAGGAGCTCACGGTTGCCGATGTCATAGTTTCTCTCTGCGGATGAAAGCTTGCGAGAAAAATAAGCACAAGGATGCAACTTATGATCGGTAGGAGACCGTTGAGAGAGCACGCCCCGACCCCCAAATCAGAGGCGTCAACTTCCACAACAAACTGTAACCCAGGATCGGGCTGGATGAGTACAGGGGCAGAGGTGAAGCGATGCTTTAACTCCTTGAACGCTGATTCAGCCTCAGATGTCCACAAAAAGGGGGTAGAAGTAGAGGTAAGGGCAGTTAGGGGGGCAGCAATGCGGCTGAAATTGCGAATGAACCTCCTGTAGAAATTAGCGAATCCTAGGAAACGTTGTACCTCTTTGCGACTGGTGGGGTTAGGCCATTCCCGGACTGCAGTAAGCTTTTCAGGGTCCATTTGGACTTGGCCTTGAGAGATAATGTACCCTAAAAAAGAAACAGAAGAAGCATGGAACTGACACTTTTCTGCCTTGACAAAGAGCTTGTTTTCCAAAAGTCTTTGTAGCACCTTACGGACGTGAATCTTGTGGGTCTCAAGGTCCTTAGAAAAAATCAAAATATCATCAATGTAAACGAAAACATATCTCCCAATCATATCCCTTAGGACATCATTAACCAAGCCCTGGAAGACGGCAGGAGCATTAGTGAGACCGAATGGCATGACAAGGTATTCAAAATGGCCGAGTGGCGTATTAAAAGCGGTCTTCCACTCATCCCCCTCTCTAATACGCACAAGATGATACGCATTGCGCAAGTCCAATTTCGTGAAAATAGTGGAGCCACAGAGAGGGGTAAAAGCCGAACTGATCAAAGGGAGCGGGTACTTATTCTTCACCGTGATCTTATTAAGACCCCGAAAGTCAATGCAGGGCCTGAGTGACTTGTCCTTCTTGTCAACAAAGAAAAAACCAGCACCCACCGGTGAGGAGGACGGTCTAATTATACCGGCAGCCAGAGACTCTTGGATGTACTTCTCCATAGCTTTGGTTTCCGGGCGTGAGAGGTTATACAGACGACTGCTAGGCAAGGGAGCACCCGGGAGCAGATCAATGGCGCAATCATAAGGCCGATGGGGTGGCAGCGACAGGGCATGTTGTTTGCTGAACACTGCCCCAAGGTCATGATAGGCAGGCGGAACAGCAGAGAGGTCCGGCGGTTCTAGGACAGGAGCAGACTCAGAACAACCCGGAGGCAAGGCTGACTGTAAACAATGGGAATGACAAAAAGTACTCCAAGTTATTACCCTCCCAGCGGACCAATCTATATGCGGATTATGCAACATTAACCAAGGTAAGCCTAACACAAGAGGCGAGTGGTTGCAATCAAAGACATGAAACGAAATAAATTCCTTGTGATTGCCCGAAATATGTAGGAGGACTGGGAGAGTACGCTCCGTGACTTTAGCTAGTAGTTGTCCGTTAAGTGCTTTAGCCTCCAGCGGAGTGCCCAGAGTCTCAGTCTTAATTCCAGGCTGGTGAATAACTTCACGATCCAAAAAATTCTCATCAACCCCTGAATCAATGAGTACTGGCATAGTCAAGGCCTGATCTTGTAAAACGAGAGTCGCCTGAAAACATGGCTTAGTAGGAGATGTACAGTTTGTTCGGCTCAGCAGTACATCTCCCACTACTGCGGAGCCGGCCCTTTTACTGGCCGCAGAGGACAGGAAGATAGGAAGTGTCCCAACTGACCGCAATAAAAACAGCTCCTGGTGTTCAGACGGCGTTGTCTCTCCTCTGGATCAACACAGGCGCGGCCAAGCTGCATGGGTTCAGGAGCAGAAGTAGACTGGACAGGAGCCGATGGTACTGCAGGAAAAACTGGTGGAAGAGGAGAGTTACGAGATCCTACCAGAGGAGTCTTACCAGCCTTCTCCCGACGACGCTCCCTGAGGCGGTTGTCCACTCTAATGACTGAATCAATTAGTTCCTCTAAGGTGCTAGGAATGTCCCGAGAAGCCATTTCATCCTTGAGTGTGTCAGACAGGGAGTTTAAAAACGCTCCATGGAGAGCCTCGTCATTCCAGCCACTCTCTGCAGCAAGTGTACGAAATTCAATGGCAAATTCTGCTACACTGCGGTTTCCTTGGCGCAGAGTAAAAAGTCTTTTAGCGGCCTCCTTTC